TTCAAGCATATATTATACCTATCTCAAGTCCAATCACTGCAAGGTTAGGGAAAATGGAGTTAACATGAAATTTAAGTAAAGTTCAGTATAGTCAGGGATGGAAAAGCATGAATAGTGTATAAAACAATTCTGACACATAATGGCATCATCTACTAGACACAATTGTTGTATGTTGTTGGTCTTACAAAGGATGAACCTAATTTTCAGACAGAACAAATCACTTTGCTCCTCCTTGCCCTATTTTTCTCTCACAGTAATACTACACAAAGATAAATTTGCTCTGGAACCACAGGACAGGTCTCAGAAGAACGTGGGAGAATATGGGTTGGCCATGGCCACATAGAAGGGTCATAATGACTTTCTAAAGCACTGACATTTTCAGGCTGTATGAGGTTCTCCTTGCAGGCCTCTTCCTACATATCTGCAAATTAGGGGCTTACCTGATCATGTGATTCCACTTGGGCTATAACATGAGCAACAATGAAAATCACAGAGGCTATAGAACTTTCAGAGGCAGCGGACTATATAAAATAGGATGGATTCCTTGGACATACTGGGGGTTCTCTTTATCATCATAGAAAGCCCAAACTTACTGGGGTTGAGAGAGAAATTATGCAGTTGAAACATTCAGAGATTTGATCCTTACAATCCGCTTTATCATAGAAAGCAAGTCTAAGATCAAGAATTTTGTCCATAGTCTGTTATCTCTGTTATGCCAGATAGGAAATTTCTGCCAGTTCTTGGAAAAAGAGCCATATTTACACCTAGTGTAAATCAATGAAAATCTATACTTGCATCATACTTATGTTGTGACATTTTTATATAAACCATGGCTGAAAGTACATACACACCCTGGTGTTTATCTACCATATATGTCATGATTTAATTAAGTACTTCTGCAAATTCATATAATCTCAGCTAAAAGCAATCACTGTCCAACAAAATCAACTGAAGGTGTTGATTGTGCCTTTATTTACACTTGCTGAATTTGAGCCTGTAATTCTCTGCCTCTGGTGACAAAGATGGAAGCGATATAATTTATATAAGGACCAACTATTGCCTGCTCTAATGGCTTCACAATAGAGTGTGAAAATGTCAGTAGTGTTGACTACAGCCTAATTTCTGCGGCTCCACCAAAAATAGAATTGACTCGATGGTGAATTACACGGGCTACTTTTTCTAGCCTAGGCAAGACCATGACAAACAGAAATATTTGAACTTGATATTTGATTAATGCTGGCAGTATTTTATAAGTGATTTCCACTCAACATCGTCTAATTATTTAATTATTTCCCATTATTAATGGAATTAACAATTCAAAACAAACAGCTAGAATGACTGTTTCACAGGAAGCTCATAACCATCAATTCATACATGTAGAAATCTTCCTAAAATTGTATTAAACTGGCCTGTTGAACTTGAAAGGCATATTTTATCCCAATCAATGCATAAAAGTAAAATTATCCATAACTAAGGCATGTTTCTCTGCTGTACAGTTCAGCTGTAATGATCCCCACACACTGCACTTGCACATCAATTATGATAATCATAATCACGGTCGTTAAGCTGAATGTTCATTATTATCAGGATGCTGGTGACAGCAGATTCAATCATCGGGTGCAATGGGCAGGCAGTCACAGTCCCACCCAAGTTTCTGGAGACAGCGTTGTGCCACATTAAATCTATGATGTGTTCCACATCCCACTCCATTCCAAAAGCTGTAGACGGTAAAGGTCAACTTTATGTTCTGTGCAATATGCTTAGGTTCTCTAAATTAATTCTTTGCAGTACTGGGTATTTTTATGCTTTGTACATAATAAAATTCTGTTTAGGGCCAAAATGCCTGTGCAAATAATGAAACAGTGATGTAGTCGTACTGTAATTCATCTATAATAAGGCATTAGAGAAAAGAATCTATCAGGAAGGAACATCTTAAAATGTCACTTCCTGAATTTCACAAATAAGAAAACACTAAATGTTGTCATTAAAGTCAGACTTCTAAAATGCATACACAAACTAATTCTAATACCGATTAAAGGCTGTAAGCTATCATTTCTGCCTCAGTAAATATGAACATATGTGAGTGTTCTGACAACTGAAAGATTATAGTTAGTGTATTTGATCCCTCGACTGTCAAACTACATTGGATCCTACCATTGTAGATTAAATTCATAGTGACTGGTAAATTTCTTATATTGATATTTCTCACATAAATTCTATGAAAGGCATTGCAAGGTATTTAGACTGAAAATATGCAAGCATTTTTATTTTTATAGTGGTTTACAATTGGGTAAACTAACTAGATTCCATTTCACGAGAGGTATAGTATTTCCATTTCTTGGTTATTTGTAATGAAGAACTAGAATGTAACAGTCTCTTCCTGAACTCAGAAACTTCTTAGAAAAGTAAATGGAATGAGATAAAAAATTTCAGATTATAACTAGATGAAAAGAAGAACTGTTAACTTTTCCTTACATAGATATGGAAATTATTATGTTTAGAGGAAGCCTATGCTAATATCCTTTCATTTTTCAGAAGAAATATAACAAGACGATATTTTTTATTGTTGTTAATTTTGCTTCTAAAGTCATTATATCATTTACATAGTAATCTTTTTGTGACTTGAATTAAAATGCATACTTATAAATACATGAAAACGTCAGGAAAATACAACTAGAACATGCTCATGAGCATACACAGGGAAACTTCTTTATATGTAGTTTTAAAAAAAAACCAAACAGCTAATATCAGCTACTGTCATATAATATCGCAGCAGCTCAGAGGGGTCATTGATCCACTGACCACAGAAGTGACCCCCTGGGAGAACTTACAGCAATGGGAAGGTAAACTGCTCTAGTATAATACTGTCAGAACCTGAATATTCATCATGGCAGAGTTATCAGCTTTTCAGGTTGTAATGTAAGTTGCATCCACAAAAATATCACCTCACAGGAAACTCAAAGGAGGGTTATGTTTAGCAGACAAAGTGTTAAGAAAAAATTCAAATATTTTTTTATATTTTGATACATGCTCTACAGCCTGGTGATTTATTAGAACAGGATAATTTTGTTCATAGCACTGATATATTTTAAAAGTTTTAATACAGTTTAGAAATAAAAAAGGGACAGAGTTCTTCCAAATTTAACAGTTACCAAAGTATGACCTCACACTTGCCTATAGGAACTTTTCCATTAAAATATAGTGAGGAGGTGGAGTTTGGGGTTTTTTTCTGATAATAATGTTCCATTAATGCAGCAGACAGGTAATAAATAGCTCTTTTCTCCTCTTATCTCTCTGTTTGGGTAAGCGGCTCCTAATTGAAGCTTCATATTGATTTAGAATTGGGGTTGGAAGGCTGTATGTCATGTTGGGTTAATGTATACAGCTATTCACCTCCAGAGATTTAGGTTGAAATCTATCCAAGATCCTAAGTAAAGTGAGTTTAGTTGTTTCAGCTAACCCCATAATTTATATATGCATGATATGATATACAATATAAATATTTTTACTTTTTTTGATATTGTCATCTGAGCCTGATCAAGAACTGCAAAGGATGAGTCTTTACAGGAAGAGTCTTTACAGGACGAGTACCACCAATAAGACTTTTAGATCTTTTTTATTTATCATAATTATGCTGTGGGACTTCAGCTAGTCATATCCTTCACTTACTGCTTTTGAAAGACAAGTTCAGATCTTTTTGTTTGAATGTTGACCTTTGTGCCTTTATTTCCAGTGAGATTTAATTAATGTCTGTTAAAATACCAACATTTTACTCTGAGCTCATTTTTAAAGCTTAAATTTTGGAGAAACAATTCTTTAAAAATATTACTACTCAAATTAAGATTCCCTGAAACTTGTTATTTATTTACAAAGGTTAAGTTACTTTCAGGGAAACAAGTAACCACATTTTTAAAAATCTCAGAACTGTTTATGTTGAATGAGACCCCTTGAGCTCATCTAGTCCAACTCCCCTACTCAGTTAGACTATATTTCCCAGGACCACATCTAGTTGGGTTTTAAATGCCTCCAAGAGTGGAGGAACCTCTTTGGGCAACCTGTGCCAGTGCTCTGTCACCCTCACACTAAAAAAAAAAAGTTTCTGGTGTTTGGGTGGAATGTCATGCATTTCGCTTTGTGTCCATTGCCTCTTGTTCTGTCACTGGACACTACTGAGCCTGAGAGGAGTCTGGCTCTCTCTTCTTCATTGCTTCCTATCAGGTGTTTATACACACTGATAAGATCTCCCCCAAGCTTCCTCTTCTCCAAACTGAAGAGTTCCAGCACTCTCAGCCTCTCCACAGACAAAAGATGCACCAGTTCCTTCACTATCTTTGTGGCTTTGTGCTGCACTCTTTATCAAGTCCATTTCCCTTCTTCTACTGGGAAATTTTAATGTGATTATCATACTTAATATGAATAGAAGTAATGCAAACATTACACAAACTCATGTTAGAACATGTTCTGAGGAAAATTACCTCTTGCAGCACTACAAAATCAGAAACAAATGAGATGCTTCTGACAAAGCAGGCAGTTTAATGAGACTATCTTAAAATAAAAATGGCTCTTAAATGAATGTTAGCATCTTCCAAAGAATGTAAGAAAGTAAAATATTTTGTTGGTTTTAATCAGTTTTTGCCATAATTTTCAAAGATTTTTCTTAATATGCAAGAATAAATACGCAATCTCTCTTAAATCAGAAAAGGAACACAGATAAATAGAATAAAACTTTGCAAAACTTATATAAACAAAGCTGTACTTAATCAGTGTTTTAAATCCTTATCTTGAGAGTTGGAGAGATGTTGAATTTCCTCAAATTGAACTTACCAGAAAGGAAGTTGTGGAAGCCTGGCATCTCATCACATCAGCTCTATGTGATTTTATAATATGCCAGAGATTCCTATTGGATTCCATAATCTCTGGATCAGGCCCAAATTCACTTAGTCCTAATACAGTAACAATCTAAAAGAGTAAAGCATTCTTTAATTTTTGCAGTGACTTACCTTGTCTGCTACCCACTTCTTAGGCTGTACTTCTCGAAAATGTTTAATTCCATAAGCTTCTTGGCCATATTTGCCTGACCTAGTAATTAATGGTTCATACTTCTCATTTTTATGATATGAAGAAAATGGCAGAAATCTGAAATTCAAGAATATTTAAAAAATCAGTTATGCCTTACTCTAGATGCTACAGGGTTGATGTAAATAATAAGTACCAGTGCTACAGCAGGTGAACTGGGCACACATTCCGGCTATTTTCCATTACCTTCTTAATGTTTCCCCTCAGTATTTTGAGAGGATTACTGCAATTTCTCCTATAGCTACTTTTAAATTAAATTTGAAACAAAGAGATAGAGAGTTTCAACAGGATAAAATGAAGACTTTCTATATGAAGATGTAACTTGGTTCACTTCCATTATTAGATTATTACTTTGGCTGTATCTGCAGTACCAACTGGTGTGATGTGAAAAGAGAATAAGCAGGGTTCAATTTGCTGGGGTTTGCATGTTGACACCTCAGGTCTTAGTAGGCAGTGCAGTTTGTCCCAGATGTCACTGGCAGGGACGCATCAAGCACAGGTACAGAGCTCATTTCTGGAAAACTTGTATCTGCTTTACAAGTCATGTAGGCTCCTAACGCATAACCTCAACCTTATCATTCCATCAGGATGGAAACACTTCAAGAATGCCAGCAGTATAAGCACAAAAAAACAGGCATATTTGCTCCCCATACCTTAAACTAGGTATGCATCCTTGGGTATCTGTTAACCAAAGTTAAATAAGCCATGCTTTCACTTAGCAGAACAGAAATGTACACTGGTGACTTTCACACGTTGGCACAACACAAAGCGAAGAAATTATTTCTTTTGAATTCAAAAATGGTGTACTTTACTGTCAAGCTATAATTATGTCCTAACTAACAATCTATTGAAGGCTAAGTCTTTCACCTTTGATCATACTGATGGTGGACTCCTTGCTTACATATTGTCACTGAACAGTGAAGCTCCAACTACCCACATTGGGCATAGAAGAGGTTTTCAGATGGATGTCCCTAACTCTTATGGATAACTACAGGATTTCTGGGTAGATTCCATGGTAAACTGTGGAGGTAAGTTAAAGACATCTTATACATAAAGGACCTGCAAGAGATGCTACAAAGATGTCTTAGTTTCATCTACTTCAGTTTGCAAGAGAGATATGAGAGCAAACAGGTACATTTTAATATAAGGTAAAATCTTGTGAATTAAGATTATAATTGCTAGTGTTCTGAAAAAGCAACATAAATTCTTTATTCTACAAGTGCAGAAAAAATTATTATACAGTAAATTTAGAAATATATGCTTCAGAAGTCTAACATATCACTTCAACTGCCATGACAACAGGTGTAGTTAATGAAAACCTTTTCCTAGTTGAAAACTTTTCAGAATCCAGAGTCCCTATAAGAGTTAGACAACATTTTTGATAAAGATGGGAATTAAATTATCTTTCTTTGTCTCTCTCAGCTGATACAGGCTCAGAAAATTATTTATTTGGACTAACTGATCCATCAGCAACTGCTTGAGTGTTTGTTTTTTTTAAATTACATGTCTTCCTTTCCATTTCATAAAAATAAACTATTTTAGAATCTTGTCAGCTATATTAATTTATTCTATCAGGTGTCACAAACAAATGTCACGTAAAGTTAGCAAAAGAAAAACACTGAATTAGCAGACTTTTAAATTATACAAAGCTATAGTAGCATGTGTATACTCATGGGAAAGGACACTTTCACATAAGATAGATTATGGTACTTGTAATGCTAATTTGCACATGCGATGGACATCACACACACAAAAAAATTAATGTGACCCCAGTGTCCCAAAGAATACATTGAAGGTGCTGTTAGCCGGCTGCTCCACTTGCAGTTTTTATAACTTCTGAATAGCATTTTAATAGTACATTTTTCTTTTGTTCAGACATGAAAGAAAATTGGCTTTCTCAAGGGATTGGATAGCTAAGAAGACAAGGCTAGCAGTTTAGGGATATCCCCGTATATGCATAGAATTTAGTTGGGCCATAGCATTCATAATTCAATATAAATACTATGTCTTTAAAATTTATACACAAAATGACAAAAAAAAATCTTGAGGAAAGTAGAAGACAAAGTAAATTATAGTTTTCCCTATAAAATTTCTACATAGAAGTTTTTCTTTTGCTGTGGATCAGTTAATCTTTGTCTTTTTGGCAAATGTATACAGAGTAATCTCTGTTCTGCCATGATTCCAAACAAAACAATACATATATTATAACACTTTAAGACACAACTAATGTTATGTTCTGCATGCAGTTTAGCACAAATGTGATCTTCTGCACTCTGCTGTATATCTCCTCTAAGATCATTAACTGAAGTATGTGCCATGCAGCCTGGAATGTATGTCTCTGGCTGAGTAAAAAAAATAAAGCAACTATGAATTTTTGAGGAAAAAAAACATTGAATAATACAAAAATATTAGAACTGAAATGAAAGAACACTAAAAATATAACCGAGTATAATGGTAATAAGAAGTCTAAAGTAGAAGCTTTTTTTTTTTTTCATCTGTCTTTAGTTCTGCTGTCAGAGCCAGATAGGCAGATCCTTATAGCAATAACAATCTCACTACAAGAAAGGATCATGTGCTTGCAAATTCAGTGTCTGTTTAAAGCAAGTAAAAATTTTCATTACTCTATGCATATAAGTAATTAAAAAGAACATTAAAACAATTTTTTGTGTTAAGTAGGGTAACCAAATTAATAGGAGTCATACAAAAGTCCTTATACCCCCACAACCAATAACAATAGTAAAAAGCAATAGCGCTGCAGAATATATCAGTAATGGTATTGTGTTCTGTAGCTCTATGTATACACCTGACACAGCATTTCCCCAAATTAAAGACAATATGTGTTCTGAATGTGACACAAGAAAGTGGTGGAAGGAGAAGAAAATTAAATCCAGACAATAGTATGGTGCCAGGATCAACTGCACAAGTTTAGACCTCAACAGTTTTTCGTTTTCCACCAAAAGCTCGCTCACAGGTTTCTTACATCTGGGTTTCAGGTTTTCCTTGTGACTTAAGTGTAAATTCAGAAATTCTTACAGGTTTTCAGTAAATATGACAGAGACAGAAGCAGCAGGATTAAAGAAGAATTAAATTCCATATTAAAGATATTTCATGTCATAAAAAGATAGTTAGTATAAGCTCAGTCTTTCCAAAAGATGATGATTTAATGGGAGGTGAATTTTCCTTAAAGAAATACATCTCAAAATGAAAAATTATTTCATTCCACTTCACCCACTACTAAAGCTTGAATGAGAGATAGGCCAAAGAATACATTCAAGACCGA